TCTTCTCTTTCCTTTGATAATATATAAACGTCATGTTTAGTTTCCAAGCTGCAGAATTACATCGTTGCGTTTTATTCTCTAGATAAAGAGTGCAAATGAAAAGTGCCTCGCTTCTGAAGAATATGTCCTATGGTGTAGTAGAATTTATTATTTCAATCCCATTGGACTTAAACATCATTAACTTAATGACGTAATTAATGAGTGGGAATTATAATTGAAAGTAGTGATCCATCGAACACACTCAGAACAACAACCTCCCAATTTCCTTTAAATTTGTTGCAACCGAAATGTAATCGAAGGATTGCACATACAAATTTTCAGCCAGCTCTAAAATTTAGCTATGAAAGAGGTTTCTCATTTTCAAATCTACCAGTCAATGAGGGATAAAAAAAAGCATTAAAGTTACATGGCCCTGCAATCATCGTCCTTTGGAAAGGTGACGCTGAGCAACAATAATCAAAGCAGTGCAAAAGGGCGCTTCTACTTGCTGGATTAAAGATATAAAGGACAAAAGTCAATTTCGAGGGTAAGAAAAATCACAGTTCTCTTAGTTTCAAATGGCGCCTCCTTTGGTCCCCAAAATAATAGCCTTCTCCAACCTGAGGAGCTTCAGCGAAGGAGGGAGAGACCCAGCTTCCAAAAGGTTCAGCTCCCAGGATCACAAGGGCCCGCAGCTTTGTGAATGAAGTGCGGCGAGATTTGCCCCGTTCCACAGCAAATTGGCTGGACTTATGGCCGGAAGGACAAGCAGCACCGCCCGCCGAAATAGTTTCCATAGGAGATTTGGGGCATTCTGCTATCCCGTATTCAGATCGAGAAGGGACTAATTTCGTCGACGGTCAACTTTGATCTTTTGAGGTTCCTTCCTAGGAATTGCCAACCTATAACTAATGGAACTTTTATTTCTCTTTGTGGGTTTTGATATTTTTGGCGATGCTTTTTGTCGGAGCTGTAGAATGTGGGTTCACTTATGGTTTAAAATTCCTCCATCTGGATTAAAGAGGGGGGAAAAGAGGCATAATTCCGGGAAGGCAAAAAAAAAAAAAATCGGTCAAAGAGCAAACAAGAAACAAGAAATAACACGACAGCTACTGCTATCTGGTCGCCTCCACCCCCTCCATCCCTCACCCGGCATCGGCCACTTTTCTGTTTTACCGACCCCAGTCCTTCCTACAAGGACTCCCAATACTTCCTACCACTTTCTAATTTGACGGCTGGAGGGTAGGAGCCAAAGGCAGGCGGCGGCGGTGCATTGCGCAGGCGCAAGATGGCTCCTCAGACTTTCTGTGCGGGACCAGGCGAAGTGAGTCGAGGGGGCGGCTGCTGGGAGTCCCGCCGACGAGGAAGCGCTGCCTTTTCTGCCGAAATGAGGAAAGGCCGGCCGGGGCGCGGCCGATCAGCACCAACTTGAAACTCCTCCGCAGCCCCAGGAGTTGCTTGTCCAATCCTTGCCCCTCAGCTCAATCGAGACCTAACACAGCAGGGCGGCTTTCCAGGACAGGGAAAGTTTGGCGGGAGATCTGAGTCCGACCAGTTCCTATCCCAGCTGATTGAAGCACGATTGCTGCTTTTACCTAAGGATTCACAAATCAACCGCGCGGTGGTTGAGGGAGGTAGCTTGTCCAACGACCCCTCCAAGCCAATTCCCAGAACATGTCAAAACAATGAGGTCCCACAGCTCAGCTAATTGTGCAAATTCGAATAAAGATCTATACGTTTACTGTATGGGCTGAGTTTGGATACAGGCTAAGAGACTGTCGTAGGTCGCTGCATGTGTTCTCTTTGTTCAGGAGGGGGTGTATGCCCCCGATGGTTTCTGGCTGCAAAAAAGGGCGAGGGGAGGAGGACCCCAGACTTCTGGGGCTCACGGGGCAGAGATTGTCTTCTCTGCAGGCCCCCAGGATGCTTGCTGTACGTTCATAAAACAATTCCTATCCAATTCAGAGATTGCCTTTTAACTGAAACGTTGTTTAGCCAATTAACCCAGTTTCGGTTTGGCGGGGCTCTCAAAACATAAAATAGTCTGAGGTTTATTATGTGTTTGTGAGGGATGTTCTATGAGTCTGCCAGTCAAGCTTTTTTCTTTTTTCCACTCCCATTGTTCTCCCTTGTTTTTTTAGGTTTTCCTTTGTCTTCTTGCTTCATTGTTTCTATTTCCTTTCCTTTCCTTTACTTTCTTTTCCTTGTCTTTCCTTTCCTTTCCCGTCTTATCTATTCTTTTCTCCACTCCTTTTTTTCTTTCACAACTTTCTCTCTGTCCCCCTCGCATTTTTTTCAACCGAATGTGACCGCGCACAGATCTTTGTTGAATAGCGTTGGGGAGTAGAGATCAAATACAGGAGGTCTCCCTTGATGCTTGAGAGTACCTGAGTTAATTAGGTTTCAACTCTGAACCAAAAATAATTCCCTTCCAACTGAAAAACCAGATTTAAAAAATCAAGTGACAGAAAGGGGAGGAAAGAATTAAACTGTGGAATAAAAGCAGAGTTCAGGGGGAAATTATTTTGATTTAGTAGGCAAAAGCCTTTGCCGGAAGAAAACGGCTCCAACCTTCCGCATATGTGACAACGTCAAGATTATAACAAAATTTTCCCAGAGTAATGGACGGCTGAACAGACTCAGGTAGAGGCTGGAGAGAATCAGCATCGCGTGCCTATCTAAACAGACAATTGTTTTCCTTTCTGGAGAAGAGAGTTAAGACCATCAGGAATGGAGCGTTTATTTAGATAATTATCCAGGTCGATGAGAAGGATTTATGCCCCCGATGATTTCTGGCTGCAAAAAAAGAGCGAGGGGAGGAGAACCCCGGACTTCTGGGGCTCACGGGGTACTAAATTTAGGGCACTAAAGCAGAGGGAGTGGGAATGTCTAGAGGACACCTATTCCCTACACTCTGTTTCAAAATGACCTGGAGGACAAAAGGGCACCCCATCACCATCACTATGTAGTCTGAGTATCTTCCCCTCCTCGAGTCTATTTGATCTTAGAAATGCAAGAGGATTCCAACCCACGTAGATGGGATTTAATTAAAAAGTGATGGATTTTCTAGCCAAGGAGTCCTAGTCCTAAAAAATTTTAAATGTTTCATTTACCACTGAAATTTGAAATATATCAATTTTCTCTCTCTGTTGGCCTCTGTCTCTCTGTCTCTCTATGTGTGTGTCTCTGTCTCCCCCCCCTCTTTTATTTTATCTGAAAGTTTGGCAGTGGTTTTGGCTATAAGGGAAAAGCATTTTACATCTATACAAAAGCACCTATTTTCTTCTCTGGAACACTGGTTGATGCTTTTACCTGAAAACCTATGCTTATTTTGACAACTAGGTATTGTGAGAATATTTTGACTTTAAGTGACACATAACTAGTGCAAAGATTTCTACAACTAAGAACTTAAATGGCTTGAACTACAGCGCTGAGCAAGCCAGGTTCCAATGGGAGAGGATGGAAAATGCAACTGCATTTAATTTCCCCCTCATCCAGTATCCAGTTCAATACATTGAATTTGTGAGATCTTGCTGTAACAGCTTGCTGAGACTAAACATCCCTAAACTTACTTTTTGCCAAGTATACATACATGGGATTAGTTTTCTAAGGTTGGTTTCCTGAGGATAAATCTGCATTGGAGGTTTTACTGGAAATATAGTTGTGTGTGAATGTGTTTGGAGGCATACATCTTCAAATTCTTGAAAAACCTTGGTAAAACTGAGTTTAGAATTAACATTGATTCTGTTTCAGAAAAAAAAATGGACTTCAAGAATAACAATTATATTCTTGAGATCTAACTTACATGAACCGGAATTATTAGGATAATTGGTCATTGCAGATATCAGTTAATTTGGCAGTAGGAATTTGCATGTCTGAAAGCTTGAAATGGCTGATCTTCCCTTGTTTCCAAGTCTGGGCTCTTACATCATCTCTTAAGGCATAATGTGGTTTGCCTGATTCTACCTTCGTGTAATCTGTAGCCAGACGTTGTGGTTTGTAAATCAAGGTTTATGGCTTGACTTTTTGATCAAATCCTGCTAATTGTAAGTTATTCTGCAGACCATGATTAAACAACCATGGTGTCTTGTAATTTACATTTGAATTAGTGTAAATTACATCAACATGATTAGCAGCTTTAATTTGTTACAGACTATACATTCAAGCTGTGATATTAAATGCATGTGACAGAAACACATTTAGCTTAAATAGATGGGATCAGATTTCAGAAATATTTGTAATATGGATGCAATTTGCAGTAGTTATATCTTACAAAGAAATTGTAAATTTTACTACCACTGGTTTTTTATGGCAAGGTTTGACTGTTAACTGGATCCATTTTTTGTCCTAAGATTTTGAGATTCAGCATTTGAGATTGTGTGCTAATCTTAAAAGCAAGAAGACTGTAAAGACCAATAATTTAGTCTCATTTATGTATTTATAAAATATTTATATTATTTTCCCCTTAAAATAACTGAGAATTTTCCAACAGTAATATATAACTAGGGAAAAAGACTTACTTGCAGTGACAAACCAAAATCCTTTTCATTAATAACAGAACAGAAAGGAATATGATCAAAACTACAAAGATACATATTTAAATGGATTGTTTCAGTAATTTACTATATGACTGTATGTTGATATCATTTGGGTTATATGAGAAAGACTTATAAGCATTTTATTTTTCTTGTTCAATTCATGTATGTATGTATGTATGTATGTATGTATGTATGTATGTATATGTATGTACACACACACATACACACACACACACCAATCATCAAGGATTATTTAGTTGCATGGAAGAGAATACGGTACATGTATCACTTCTCATGGGCTACTTCCATTTGGCCTTCTGTGAAAATAAATATGGTCTTTAATGAAGAATAAAATGAGTTTAATAAAGCAGAGCTATCCTATGAAATTCTAAGTCATATGTACTATATCTACATAGTTCTTGATTTCTTTTAGCAGATGAAGAGAGGGGAATCTGAAACTTTATATCACAAGAAATCAACAGGTATATGTAAAAGTAATGATTTAATGAGTGTAAGCAAGACAAAGCATAGAATTGTGCTTTTTTCTTTTTCTTTTTGCAGACTGGAGACAACAAAATACTTAGCTACAATATCCCTGTACAAACATGAGACAATAGGCATATAGGATAAACACCCTCACAAATGTGTAACTGATGAGTGAAGAAGGTGCACATGAACGCACATACCACACATACATTTTAACCAAAGCAAAGCACAAACTGAAAGATATTGGAGATTCAAGAGACTTACAATTTCAAGCCTTCCTTTCCCACCCCCCTCAAAAAAACCTGATACCTTCAGAAAACTATTTTGCAGAAAGGCTTCCAGGCAACTCATTTGTACCTGTTAATCCTTAACCAAGTTAGTACTGTACCATACACATACATATATATATTAAAACAAATTTAGTTAAAAAGCCTTCATCTGAATTAACTGATTTCTTTAGAAATAATGAATGGAAAAGATTCCTGCATACTTTATGGCTTCTTATATGCATTCCTGTGCTTTTTGTTTCTGGGGTGGGGTGGGGGGAATCACACATTCCAATACTTTCTCCTATAAAAGGAATAAAATCAAGAATAAAATCGTTTCCATGTTCCTCCATTTTATCCTATGCTTCACTTGCCCTCTCCTCCTTGGTGTTAGAGACAATTAATTACATTGGGCAAATGTAAAAATCCTGGGAAGCAGACAAGGCCCAAGAAGTCCTTTTGGTATTGTCAATTGCTTCCAAGTTAGCTGAGAAGGAAACTCGTTCTCCTGCTTTTATGGCAAAGAGCTGGTGGCTGTTTCAGCAGGGCTCCCCCTACACCTGTCCCACAAAGCATGTGAGGGGTGAGCCAATGGGGACTTAGCCACCTTCATTGATACTGCATGAAACACAATATTCTCTTTATAAATATATCATACAATACTGCTTCCTATTTTGTCATACACTAATATGGCGTTCTTCCACAAATTCATAATGCCATCAAAACCTTACAAAAAGAGCTTATCTTGTTTTCTTTCACAATTTCTTTTTTCTTAAGCCAGCCAGTAAAATAAAAGGCAAAACCCGCTTTTAGGTATACAAGTATAAATCTGAACATAGAATGTCCTTCTTCTCTTCTATACCATTTTTTTTTCTTCTGTTGTTTTCTGATCTTTCAATGGCTTTGGTGTTGCGCAGAAGTTGTGGATGCAAACTATACATTGAAATGGCTAATAAAGCAAATACATTGTTATTCACAGTGGTGTGGCTACATATATGCATTGTTTTATGCATATTCAATCTGGCATTTATGCATCTCAGCATCTCAAGGTGGAGAAGGGATAAAAAGCACTTGTTTTCAATGAGAGTCCACAAAACCAGGGAACCACAGTTCATAATCTGAAAGATATTTAGGAAATTAATCTGAATTTACAAAATTTGGGTTTCATTTGTGACAGCCATCCATTTACAGACACTTCTGACTCCAAATCAGGAAACAGATCAATAATGGGAAGCAAAAAATAAAATACTCCAAAAATATCTGGACTGATATTTTTTTTATGTTGCTGGTCCTTAAGAAATCGTTTGCTGCAGTGGTTGTTTAATATAACAAAGTCCATATCTTGTCCACCCATTTAGTATCCAATCATTATTACTTTTATTAACCATCAGGCAGACACTCGTGGAATTTGCAACTATAAAGCTTAATGGTGTGGCACAATAGAGACCAAAGGGCAGAAAAAGAGCAATAACCTGTAACCTTGGCATCCAGTCTTGAGAATCAGAAAGGACAGTTTATGCAGGTCAGCCAGAAGAAGTCACAGAGCAACTGTTCACTGACACTTTTGGGGTTCTGTTGGTAAAGGACGCATGGTGGTTACTGCTGGGACTGCCACAGGTTCCATTCATAGTGCTAGAGATGTGGGGGAACTGGGGGTGGGGAGATTGCACCGGAGTGCTGGGGCTGAGCACGCAGGATGATGTGGAAGGAGCGCCTCCCATGGGGCTGCCAGCTTTTTCACTGCCAGAGTCACTTTCCAGGTCCCCACTGTTATGCAAGCCATCTCGCTGCTGACCCCCTATTTTCATTCTCTTGCAGGTTTGTCGCACACGGTACTTTAAAGGGAGGGGACCGTTCTGCCAAAGAGCCAAAGAAAGTCAGAAAGGAAACCCTTGTTAGAGTGTTTAGTTTTGTTTCCCACCCCTCTGGCCCAACATGTCCAAAACCTGGAAGGCCTCTTGATGTATTTACCCTTCTCCAAGTGTAAATGTATGCTATGTCCATTAGTGTGTAGTAGTCCTTCAAAGGCTCTTCTTCATACATGACATCAATCTAATAAAAGAAATGAAATCATACTTCATTTAACATGACATGGAAATGTGAAAGACTATACAACTGCAATGTGGCATCTGTTGTACACCCTTAATCAAATATCACACATTTTATCTGAAATTCAGAAATACATTGACTCAGTTGAGAAGATATCTGCCTTTATATCAAAGGCTTACAATATAATGATTCAGAGAGACCCTCTGAAATCCATTCCTGTAGGTCTTTTATCTAAAAATACTGCTGTTTAATTCCAAAAGTATATGTACCAATTCTTTTCAACAGACTTAAAGTTTAAATAACTAAAACTGTTTTATGACAGTTCTTCCCCATCAATGTCCCTAGATCAAAAGTACCTGAAAAGCATTGGGTATGTCCATTTTGCTCCGGAGAAACTTCCTTAAGTGCATTACAGTCATTGCTGCAGGACAGCGTAAATATCTTTTGCTGTTTGCCTGGGAGGGGCATTTGGTTGAGACAACATTCAAAATCTGATACTAATGTTTATTCCAATATAGTAGATAGAAAGAGATGGAAACATGGTTAAAACTAGCAGCATGAAAACTAAATATTCACTGGTGATCCAAAATCAATGAAGTAAAAAGCAAAATACATGCCCATCTGATTTTTCTTTTAGAATTTAATTCATACAATTTTTATTCTTTAAAATGCATACACTAAGGGAGGAAAATAGGAGGATGTTTTCTAATATAAAACTTATTTTTATCAGCCTTTTAAATGCCCTTGAATTGTAATTACTAAGAAGGTAGCTCATTCTCTATAGAATAACTGACTCTAGTACTTACGGAAATAAAAATGAATATGGTTTTATTTTCTGAAAAAGAAATAAAAGTGTCAAGAAACCAACTAGCTACTCACCTCCTCTTTGGCTTTCTCCTTCTCGTTGCTTCCTTTCCGTTCAACTCTAGAAAAAGGACATATACTATTGTAGTAAAGAAAAAAAATATATGAATGTACTAACAAAGATAAGATTCTGCTTTTATAACTTACTNTGAAAGACTTTGCTGGATGTGAATGAGCAGAATTCACAATAAATTAATAAAAGGGTTTTTTGTCGTTTGCATCATGCTCTTGGGAAGCCTCGGTCAGAACAATATTTTTATACAACTGTTGAACAAAGTATCTCTTCTAGTTGTTCACATTTCCAGCATAAATGTGAAGTGCCTTTATATACTATAGACAGTTTCTCTAGTGGCCTATACCAATATTCATCATTTTATCTGAAATATTCACTCAATGGAAAGATGGACAGCATGCAGATTTTATAAATAAAGATTATAACATACTATTATCAGTTTTGAGGTTGATTTCTGCATATTTTATTTTGTCATTATTTTAGTCTTCTTCACATTTAATTGTAGTCCCATTTCCTCCCACTCTGCTCTATGACTTAAATTACTAGAGTAGTATCATCAGTGAAGTGGAGATTGGTATTTCTTCCTCCAAATTTAAATCCACATCCATTTTCTTCCAGCTCCTCTCTATATATATTCTGCACATAACCTAAGAACGGAGAGTGTCTGTAGTTTGGCTGATTCCTTTGCCAGTCTGTTTTACCCTGTTCCAGTCAAAATGTGGCTTCCTGCCATATACTATTATAGACTGATTTTAGGGGCTTTCTTAAGTATGGAAGCTTTCATCCAAATACATTTTCCAAAACACTTTGTGAGGGTGGTGGAAATACAAACCTCAATACAAACTGTGCTAAGCCATCGTGGCTTAATTATGGCTTACTAAGTAATTCCCAGTTGGCTGAGTTTGCACAATTCCTAAAGCCATCGGTTATAGTGCGTTAGCCAGAATAGATAGGTTTACTCCACATGTTAAGACAAAATGAAGAGAACCAGAGAAATCCAAACTTGCTTATTACACCTCTCCTTTCCTTCTCTAGTGGGTGGATGGAGGTTCATGAAGTCCTTATATCCCACAGTGCACATCTTTGATGGGCTGTTACCACACACAGTGTTTTATGACAGTTTTCAAAGGGTTTGTATCAAGATGTTCTCAGAACTTCTACTTATGGCAAACTTTCAATCTGAGTAAGATGAGCTGGTTGTTTGGGTTTTTTTCTAAACCCTTTCATTAAAATTTAGAGTATCTGGTTTGGTTTATGTTTTCACTAGCAAATATCATTTTCCTGAATAAGATTTAGATTTGGAATAGAAGATTTCAAAATACTAAACTTAGTTTGCAAATAGTACAGAGATCTGGTTTTCATGCTGTACAATCCTAGTAGCTAATACATGGAGGAAACTGCTGAAATATCCTCCTGAAGAAGGGATGTTTGTAGGGATTTGGCCACATGATTGTGGCTGCAGCCTTGGCATTTATCAACCACTCCACTTGCTTTTGTGGACAATCTTGTCTAGATGTATTGAAGTCCATAAAGTCCAGCCAGCATAATTAAAACTAGTTGGGGTGAGAACCACCATATTTGGAGAATGACAGGTTAGAGAAAGATCTGTTTTGCCAGTCCCTATTTAGTTGCTGTTCTCTGTGCACTGTGGTCTATTTTAGATACATTTTATTAAGCAAATTATATATAAATAAGTTCAAATCATATATATGAGTATCAAATGACTGCATAAGTATAAATCAGTGTCTCATGAAAATATGACAAATTCTGGATTCAGGAGGCATGCGTATTGGCTAAAATTATTATTTCACAATGCTAGAAAAAAGTAATTTGCATCTGATTTGCAGCATTGAATTGTTGATACATGTTGTCAACATTTAAATTAGATTATTTTTTTTGACAAAGGAGTATATAATAAGGCTTTTGAGCAATATGGTGTTTTATCCTCACCCTCTTTTTATTGTTATGATTATCACTTTGAAAGTAGTGCTTATATTTTCATTTTGTTGTGTATATTTAGTTCTTTTCTTTTTAGTATTAGAAATAAAAACTAACTTAACATAAAAATATCAAACCACCACATAGAAAGACTACACTAAACACTAATATTTCCCTGTTCTGCATTTACTTGGTTTATAAAGTATGTAAAATGAATATTTTAGATATAGGCATAAAAAATTCCATTGAATGATAATCTAAGCTTTGTTAGAACTTGCTTTGCATTTTGATTAGCTATTATTTTTACAGTGATTAAAAGTGGGCTTCTGTTTGAAAAGACTGTAGAGTTTCTTGCAGGAAGTCCTTTTCAGCTTTGTCTACTGACCCTCAATAATATGTTTCTTTCTAGTCACTGGAAATAGCACTGCCTAACTAGTGCTTTTCTCTTAGATTTTACAAATATGTGATGCCATGTTGTGAGGCCAGAAACAAAACGGAATAATAGGGTCCATACTATTTTGTTTTTGGTGATCAATGTGGGTTCAAGATGTATTGCTGAAAAGGACTTGAGCCGTGATGGTGAACCTATGGCATGTGTGCCACAGATGGCACATGGAGCCATATTTGCCGGCACGTCAGCTCTCAGCCAGCTGGTTTTTGGCCTTCCGGAGGACTGGGAGAGGCCATTTTTGCCCTCCCCAGGTGTCAGGAAAGCCTCTGGAGCCTGGGGAGAGTGAAAAACAGGCCTAACAGACCAACTGGAAGTTCCAAACTTATGGTTGGCTCATTGGGCCTGTTTTTTGCCCTCCCCAGGCGTCAGGAAAGCCCCTGGAGCATGGGGAGAGTGAAAAACAGGCCTAACAGAC